TGAGCTGAGATCTCGCCACTGCACTCCAGCCTGGGAGACAGAGTGAGACTCTATCTCAAAAAAAAAAAAAAAAGAAAAAGAAAGAAAAGAAAAGAAAAAGAAACCTGTACCAGCTGAGTGTAGTGGCTCACACCTGTGATGCCAAAGCTTTGGGAGGTTGAGACAGGAGGGTTACTTGAGGCCAAGAGTTTGAGACAAGCCTGGGCAACATAGTGAGACTCCATTCTCTAGAAAAGAGATTTTTTAATTAGCCGAGCATGGCTGGGCATGGTGGCTCATGCCTGTAATCCCAGCACTTTAGGAGGCCGAGGCAGGCGGATCGCTTGGAGTCAGGAGTTTGAGTCCAGCCTTGCCAACATGGCAAAACACTGTCTTTACTAATAATACAAAAATTAGTCAGGCATGGTGGTGCACGCCTATAATCCCAGCTACTTGGGAGGCTGAGGCAGGATAATCAGTTGAGCCTGGGAGGCTGAGGTTGCAGTCAGCCTAGATCGCGCCACTGCCCTCCAGCCTGTGGGACAGAATGAGACTCTGTCTCAAAAAAAAAAAAAAAAGAAAGAAAGAAAAGAAAAGAAAAACGATAAAAGAAATAACCAGGTGTGGTGGAATGGTCCTGTAGTCTCAGCTACTCAGGTGGTTGAGGTGGGAGGATCACTAGAGCCCAAGAGTTAGAGGTTACAACAAGCTGTGATCATGCCAGTGCACTCCAGCCTGGGTGACAGAGCAGGAGGGAAGAAAGAAAGAGAAAGAAAGAGGGAGAGAAGGGAGGGAGGGAGGGAGGGAGGGAGGAAGGAAGGAAGGAAAGAAAGAAAGGAAGGAAGGAAAAGAGAAAGGAAGAGAAGAGAGGCAAGGAGTGAGGGAGGAAAAGAGGAAGAGAGGGAGGAAGGAAGGAAGGAAGGGAGAGAAAGGAAGGAAGGAACGAAAGAAGGAAGGAAGGAAAAGCGAGAGAAAGGGAAGAAAGAAAAGAAAACGAAGGAAAGGAAAGAAGGAGAGAGGGAGGAAGGGATGGAGGGAGGGAGGGAGGGACCTGTGCCCATTAGCAGTCACTCCTCATTTCCCCCGTGTTCCCCAGCAGTAGGCCGCCACTAATTCACTTTCCGTCTATATATATTTTCCTTTTCTGTACTTTCCATGTAAATGGAATCACAGGATATGTGGTCCTTTGTGTCTGGCTTGTTTCACTTAATATAATCTTTTCAAGGTTCATCCATGTTGTGGTATGTAGCATTACTGCATTCCTCTTTGTGACTGAATAATATTCTATTATTGTATGGATAGACCACATTTTATTCATTCATCTGTTGATGGACGCTTGAGTTGTTTACACGTTTTGACTATTGTGAATAATACTGCAACGAACATTGTTGTACAGGTTTTTCTGTGAATACTTGGCAGCAGCTGGTAGGGCTGGAGTCATCTGAAGGCTTGGTGTACAAGTATCTGTTCGACTCCCTGTTTTCAGTTATTTTGGGTGCATACCCAGAAGTGGAATTGCTGGTCATATGGTAATGCTATGTTTAACTTTTTGAGAAAGTGATAAACTTTTTTTTTTTTTTTTTGAGACGGAGTCTTACTGTCACCCAGGCTAGAGTACAGTGGCACGATCTCGGCTCACTGTGGCCTCTGCCTCCTGGGTTCAAGCAATTCTCCTGCCTCAACCTCCCAAATAGCTGGGATTGCAGGCGTGCGCCACCACACACGGCAAATTTTTGTATTTTTTTAGTAGAGATGGTGTTTCACCATTTTGGCCAGGCTAGCGTTGAACTCCTGACTTCAAGTGAACCACCCGCCTCAGCCTCCCAAAGTGCTGGGATTACAGGAGTGAGTCACCATGCCTGCCCTGCTAAACTATTATCTTTTCTCTTTTTTTATTATTTTATTTTATTTTTTATTTTTTTTGAGATGGAGTCTCACTCTGTTGCCCAGGCTGGAGTGCAGTGGCACAGTCTCGGCTCACTGCAACCTCCGCCTCCCAGGTTCAAGCGATTCTCCTGCCTCATCCTCCTGAGTAGCTGGGACTACAGGTGCATGCCACCATGTCCAGCTAGTTTTTGTATTTTTTTAGTAGAGATGGGGTTTCATCATGCTGGCCAGGCTGGTCTTGAACTCCTGACTTCGTGATCTGGCCACCTCGGCCCCCCAAAGTGTTAAGATTACAGGTGTGAGCCACCACACCTGGCCTACTAAACTATTTTCAACAGTTTTACATTCCCACCATTTTATATTCCCACCAGTAGGGTTCCAGTTTCTCCACATGCCGACCAACATTGATTCTTTTTTCCAGGTTTTTTTTTTTTTTTTTTTTTAAATTTTGTTTTTGGTTTTTTTTTTTTTTTTTTTTTAAATACTGGCCACCTTAATGGGTGTGAGGTGCTATCTCATTGTGTTTTTCGTTTGTTTGCTTTGTTTGTTTGTTTTTGAGACAGAGTCTTAGGCTGAGGCGGGCGGATCAGGAGGTCAAGAGATCAAGACCATCCTGGCCAACATGGTGAAACCCTATCTCTACTAAAAATACAAAACATTAGCTGGACATGGTGGTGGGCACCTATAGTACCAGACATTTGGGAGGCTGAGGCAGGAGAATCGCTTGAACCCAGGAGGCAGAGATTGCAGTGAGCCAAGATCATGCCACTGCACTCCAGCCTGGTGACAGAGTGAGACTCCATATCAAAAAAAAAAAAAAAAAAAGAGAGAGAGTCTTGCTCTGTCACCCAGGCTGGACTGCAGTGGCGCGATCTCGGCTCACTGCAACCTCTGCCTCCTGGGTTCAAGCGATTCTCCTACCTGAGCCTCCCAAGTAGCTGGGATTACAGGTGCACGCCACCACACCCAGCTACTTTTTGTATATTCAGTAGAGATGGGGTTTTACCATGTTGGCTAGGCTGGTCTCTAATTCCTGGCCTCAAGTGATCTGCCTGCCTCGGCCTCCCAAATTGCTGGGATTATAGGCATAAGCCAACATGCTCGGCCCTCATGGTGGTTTTGATTTGCATGTCCTAATGAATAGTGATGTCTGACATCTTTTCATGTGCTTATTGGCCGTTCGTATATCTTCTTTGGAGAAATGGCTATTCAAGTCCTTTGCTCATTTTTGAATTGTGTTATTTGTTTTATTATTGAGTTGTAGGAGTTCTTTATATATTCTAGATACAAGTCTCTTGTCAGATACATGGTATGCAAATGTCTTCTCCCATTTGATGGGTTGTCTCTTTCTCTCTTCATAGTGCTCTTTGATACACTAAGGTTTTTAATTTTGATTAAGTCCAGTTCATCTATTTTTTCTTTTGTTGCTTGTGCTTTTGGTGTCATATTTGAGAAAGCATTGCCAAATCTAAGGTCATAAAGATGACCTTGTTTGCCCCAGTTTTCTTCCGTTTTATCATTTTGTGATTTTATTTCTTTTTTTAAACTACCATTTCTCAAGCATCTTATACTTTTATAGTTTTAGTTCTTATTTGTAAATCTTTGATTCATATCGAGTTTTTGTATCTGCTATGAGACAGGGTCCAGCTTCATTCTTTTACATGTTGTTATCCAATTGTCCCAGCACCATTTTTTAAAGACTATTATTTCCACATTGAATGGTCTTGGCACCCTTCTCAAAAATTAATTGATCATAGATATATGGTTTATTTCTAGACTCTCAATTATATTCTATCTATCTGTCTGTCTGTTGATCTATTCATCTATCCTATGCCAGTGCTACACTTTTTTGGTTACTGTAGTTTTGTAGTAAGGTTTGATATAGGGAAGTGTGAGTCCTCCAACTTGGTTTTGTTTTGTTTTCAAAATTGTTTTGGCTCTTTGGGGTCTCCTGTAATTCCATATGAATTTTAGGATCAGCTGTTCCATTTCTACAAATAAGGCTGCCAGGATTTTGATAAAGATCACATTATATCTGTAGGTTGTTTGGGGCAGTGTTGTCATCTTAACAATATTAAATCTTCCAATCTATCAACATGGAATGTCTTTCCATTTATTTAGGACTTTAATTTCTTTCAGCAACATTTTGTAGTTTTAAGTGCACAGGTCTTTCACCTCTTTGGTTAAATATATTCCTAGGTATTTATTCTTTCAGAGGCTACTCTAAATGGAATTGTTTCTTAATTTTCTTTGACATTGTTCATTTCTGTGTGTCATTTTGTATTCTGCAACTTTGTTGAATTTATTTATTAGGTCTAACAGGTTTTGGTGGAGATTGTTTAGCATTTTCCATATATAAGATTATGGCATCAGGAATTCGAAATAGTTTTACTTCTATCTTTCCAATTTGGATGCCTCTTATTCTTTTTGTTTTGTTTTGTTTTTTGTTTGTTTGTTGGTTGGTTGGTTTTTTTGAGACAGAGTCTTACTTTGTCACCAAGGCTGGAGTGCAGAGGCATGATCTCAGCTCACTGCAACCTCTGCCTCCCGGGTTCAAGCAATTCTCCTGTCTCAGCCTTTGAGTAGCTGGGGCTACAGGCATGTGCCAACATGCCTGGCCAATTATTCTGTTTTTAGTAGAGATGAGGTTTCACCATGTTGCCCAGGCTGGTCTCAAACTCCTGACCTTAAGTGATCTGCCCGCCTCAGCCTCCCAAGGTGCTGGGATTACAGGCGTGAGGCACTATGCCCGGTCGCCTCTTATTATTTCTTTTTCTTGTCTAATTGCTCTAGCTAGAACTTATAGCACAGTGTTGAGGAGAAGCAAGTAAGTGAGCATCCTTGTCTTGTTCCTGATCTTGGGAATGCTTTTAGTCCTGGGACAGGTGGGAGTCAAAATATAGGACTTGTATGTGCAGCACTAGGTCTGGGAGAGGGAGTCTGTGGCCCCTTCAGCCTCTTGCACAAACCCTGGCATATAGATCTGGGGGTCTGGAAGTGACATAGGAGGAGCCAGCCTTGTTGACCAAAGCCCCTCCTCCCTTTCCACACCCCTGGGCCCAGTCTCCTGTGCCCCTTCCTTCCTGAAAAGTGCTCTGGCCCCACACACATTGCAGGTGCTTTTGTCCCCACAGAAGAAGAGCCGTAACGAGACATACGGTGAAGGCAGCGGCGTGGAGATCCTGGAGAACCGGCCGTACACAGATGGCCCAGGCGGCTCTGGGCAGTACACACACAAGGTGTATCATGTGGGCATGCACATCCCCAGCTGGTTCCGCTCCATCCTGCCCAAGGCAGCCCTGCGGGTGGTGGAGGAGTCCTGGAATGCCTACCCCTACACCCGAACCAGGTGCGCCTGCTTTGGCCTCCATGTGCCTCCCACCTCCACATGCCATCTGGCAGGAAGCAGCCTTGTGGCATAGATCCAGGGGATGGGATCAGCCTTCAAGCAGGCTCAACACCCCATAACCCCAGGGAGCCCAGGCTTTGTTCCATACAGGTGCCCCGAAGGTCACCCAGGGCAGGCACAGGCAAGAGAGGGAAGGATGCACCCTGAAATGCCTCCTGACTCCTCACGTGTGGAGGCCATGAAGGCATGAGTCAAGCGAGGGCTGTTGGAGACTCCTTTGCCATCCCAGAAGATGCAGGGAATATAAACCTACTTCAGGCTCCCTAAGAAGGCCGAGACAGCCTGCTGGAAAGAAACTGAGGGTAGACCAGATGACACAGAGGTCCCTTTCAACTCGGAGACCTTCAGCTGCTGTGACAGTGTTGTCCCACATCCCATGCTGAGCAGGGCTGTCCTTGGGATTTCCTGGCAGAGGGTTCTTCACTCTGTGTCCCCCAGTGTGTAGCTCAGCACTGCTGAGTTGGATAGATGGGGGCTGGTTCCACCAGCTGCCTACTGCTGAGCAGGTAGGGTCCCCACAAATCTCCTGGGGCTCCCTTCCCCACACTGGTAGGCACCTGGAACTTACTTAGGGATCCACAGAGCTTGTTCCTCTTCCCAGTAGTACTTTCCTCTCTAAGCTCATCTCCAGCCTAGAGAGAGGCTATTCCCCCATTACCAGAGCTGGCTTCTTGGGAACTAGGGATGGCATGCCCCATGGAGCACCCCAGCTTCCTCCTGCTTGGCAGTATGCTGCCATAGCTGTTCCTGTGTTCCTGCCATGCTGTGGACATTGGACATAGGGCTTCTAGAAGCCACCGAAGATGTACTGTCTTCCTCTCCCCCTAAATCCTTCCCTACCCCCATCCTGGTTGTTCTTGGGACAAAGTGGCGGTCCAGGAGGTAGACGGGGCAGGCGAGTCTTGGCTACCCTCCACCCTCCTTCTATGCCCGCTCACTGGCTCCACTCCTACCCAGTGGGTCAACAGGCCCTGGCCAGCTACACTGGACCTCTCCAAGGACAGGTCCTGATGGGTGCTTTCCTTCCCACACAGGTTCACCTGCCCTTTCGTGGAGAAATTCTCCATCGACATCGAAACCTTTTATAAAACTGATGCTGGAGAAAACCCCGATGTGTTCAACCTCTCTCCTGTGGAAAAGAACCAGCTGACAATCGGTAACCAGGAAGGGCAGAGCCCCACAGGGCTGTACTCTGGATTTCCTACCCACAGGCCCCTCTTGTCCTGCCCCTTTTCCTTACACCTGGTAGACTCCAGACCTGGCCCTGTCCTGGGCAGGCAGGTCAGAGTTGGAGCAAGCATGGGGCCCATGGGGGAGGCAGGACAGGCCTCCTCAGCCCCATTCTCCTGATGTATATACCAAGTCCAAGTGCCTTTTCTACCCAGAGCCCCCAGAGTCACTTCCCTCCATCCCTTTGAGGGATCCCTACTCCCCAGAAGTACACGTGTGCTTGGGGATCCATCTCTAGCTGACAGCCATGCACAAGTGCCCCTGGCACACGATGGGGTCTATGACCTCCTGATGGCGGATGCCCTACCCACTGCCTCCAGATGACAGTGACATTCAGGGAATGGGCACCATTTGTTAGATCTTCGTTTTCAAGAGAAGCCAGTGATAAGGATTTTCATGAGAAATCTCCCAATACTAAATGTTAGCAACCAATTAGAAATCTTTGTAAATAAATTTATGCCAGTCAAACAAAACACATATGTGGGCCAGTGCAACTCAGCAGCCACCCTCCTGCAACCTCTGGATGCAAGGCCCAAGTCACCGTGGAGGCATCTCAGCAGGGCATGCCAGGTTGGGGGTGGGTGTCCATGCCCCAGGAGCTGCTCCAGGCCCAACCCCCTACCTCTGCTGGGATTTCCTGGGTCTGCGGAACAAAGCATCATAGCACGAGTGGCGTGTACAACATGCAGTTATTCTCTCAGGGCTCTGGAGGCCCGAAGTCTGAGATCACGGCATGTGGGCTCTTCCCCCTGGGGGAGACTCTGTTCAGGCCCCTTCAGTGTCTGTGCTTGCCGGCAGTCCTTGGTGCTCCTTGACTTGTAGAAGCATCCCTCAATCTCTGCCTCGGTCGCCACGTGGTCACTCCCCTCTGTGTCTGTCTGCCTCTGTGTCTCCTTTTCTTATAAGAACACCAGTCATACTGGATTAGGACCCACCTTAATGGCCTTACTTTTAACTTGATTACCTCTTTAAAAACCTTATCTCTAGATAAGATCACATTCTGAGGCACTGGGTTTAATACTTCAGCATAGGAATCAGGGTTGGGGGGTACGTAGCTCTTCCCATAGCAGGCAGCCCTGACACTGCCAGAGCTCTGCAGGCTCCCTCTGAGGCCAGCTGCCATGGGTCCTAAGTCTCTGTGACATTTCCTGTGCCGGCCCGCATGGGCAGGGCATGTGGTCTGCTCCGGGAAGAGCTCTCATCACTCCTGGCATTCTATGGTTCTCAGACTCGCTCCTGACCCTTCTGGTTTTGGTGGAGCTGATGTCTGTGTCTGCAGTCTGCAGCCTGGATACAGAGGGGCCCATGCATTGGAGAAAATGAGGTAGCCAAGGGCCTGGCTAGAGCAGACCCAACCATAAAAAAGGGCTCTGTGAGCCACAAACCCTTTCCTAGGGCTCTTTCTCACTCAGTGAGTGCTCCAGTCCTGTCCAACACACATGTGCCTCAGGAGTGAGCACACAGGAGGGCTCTGCCTCCACCGTGGGAGGTGGCCATGGGAGGGCTCTGAGATGCCCCTGTGGAGGGGAAGCCTGTGATCATAAGTGGCCTGGCCTACGTCCTGCCCAGAGCCATCACCCCTCTTCTTGTCACCCTCACCAGGTCCTGTCAGCCCCTAACCCTGTTTTCTGCACCCCTACCTCTGTGGCATCTGCCCCTGCTCTCAGGCCCAGCCCAAAGCAAGCTTGGCCAGACACCCCCTGTAGGCTTCTTCAGACATCTCTTCTGGTCTCTGTCCAGGAAGGCTTTTCCAACAGGCCGGCCTGCCTGCGTCCCTCTCAACCTCAGACCTATACCTGGGTCCACTTGGCCCTCAGGGCACTACCTGGGCTCCTAGCTTGGAGAGAAATGGCTAGCATGTCCAGGGCATCCCCATTGCTCTGTGACCACTGCCATCCTTCTCCCCACGCAGACACCCTGGTGGTTCCTTCCCCAGAAACCCCCACCTCTTGTTCAAGGGCCAGTGCTACTGAGACATTCTTGACCTCTCGATTCCACCCCTCTGGCTGAAACACCATCTTCGTGGGAAGCTTTTCCCAGCCTTCTCTTCTGTTCCTCACACCCTGTATTCTTCATGGAAATTCATCTCCCCAGTGTTTCCTCTTTGCCTTATTTATCTGCTTTGCCAAGAGGTAGTGCACTCAGAACATGGGTTTTGCTGAAATGACTTGAAAAGGCAACAAGGGACCAGGTGCATTGGCTTATACCTGTAATCTCAGCACTTTGGAACGCTGAGGTGGGAGGAGTGCTTGAGCCTGGGCAACATAGCAAGACCCCTGTCTGAATGAATGAATGCACCAAGGAAACTGCAAGCCCCATTGTCAAGGATATTGAGGTCAGAGTTGCCCAGAACATGATCCTTACTCCCCAGAGTCTCTCTGGCAGGGCAAGGCCCAGAATCCTGGGAGGATTTGGGGGTGGAGGAACATGGAGAGGAGATGTGGGTGGAGGTTGAGGTCAGGGCTGAAGTGGCCACTCTAAGGGTTTTCCCACAGACTTCATCGACATTGTCAAAGACCCTGTGCCCCACAATGAGTATAAGACAGAAGAGGACCCCAAACTGTTCCAGTCAACCAAGACTCAGCGGGGGCCCCTGTCAGACAACTGGATCGAGGAGTACAAGAAGCAGGTCTTCCCCATCATGTGTGCATACAAGCTCTGCAAGGTGGAGTTCCGCTACTGGGGCATGCAGTCCAAGATCGAGAGGTTCATCCATGACACCGGTGAGCACAGAGCACACCCCATGCAGGGTGGGCAGTGCCGGGCCACCCAACCCTTCTGTCTCCTGTCACCTGCCTGTCTGCCTCCTCTCTCTGCATGTCTGCCTGGGAGTCTGCATTTCTGTTGTTCTGGGAAGGTGACACCAAAGCCCATTTCCAGCTTCCCCACTACCCCGCAACCATGTGTTATCTTGGGCATCCATGAATACCTACGAGCACGTGCAGAGACAAGCAGTATGTGTTACTGGATGAAGAAGCCCTAGGCACTGCCCCCAGACATTCCTGACCTGGTTCGCATTTGATAAAGTGTAGCCCACACTCCACAGGTCTGAGTAGCCCCTGGGGACAGCTTCCTTGCTGCTCACCTGGGTCTCTGGGCTCCCAGGCCTTTGTTTCCTCTACTCGAGGAGGCCCAGAACCCAGGGTCACAGCTCAGACTCCCTCTTTGGGCTGGAAGCTCCCAGGAGCAGGGTGTCTCAGACTTCATAGTGGCCTTCACACCCACACCAGCCTAGCCAGAGTAGGTGCCCATGGAACAGGTAGACAGCAGATGGCCTGGGTGTCCTGGTGCAGTGAGTGCCATTTCCTCACCTAGAGCCCTCAACCCCACTCTGCTGAGGTTATAACATGACGTCAGTCCAAGGGCTGGTTCCAGTCCCTGAGGCCCGTGATTCAAAAGGCACCCCAGCCAGACACCTTGTGATGCCATGAGCAAGGGTGACTTAATTTAAGAATGAACAGAGCCACACTGTTGACAGTACACATCACGCATGTCACACAGGCTCATGATGACTCATGAGGGTAGGCATTGTCACCCCACTTACGCAGGAGGAAGCAGAGACCCAACACGGGCTGAACGAGATCTGCCTCCCATCCCAGCCACCCTCGTCCTGAATTAACATCCTCCTGTTCTTAGCATCAGCAGGGGGGTGTCTCACTAGACAGCCATGTTCAGTGTTGAGGCTGCGACCCCAAGGGAAGGTTGGGTGTGTACCCAAAAGGGTTGGGGTCCGAGGACACAGTCTTCCATTTGGAGAAACAGAGACGTGGACGGGGCCTCAACGGGTGTGATGATGTCACCACCTCCATCCCCAGGGAAGAACCCTCAGACACATTGTCCACCATTCTTTTTCCAGAAGGGCTACCTCAGTGTCAGTCAGCAGCTGGGAGAGGTGGCATCCCATCCATTGAGAGGGATGCATTCCTGCAATCCGTCTCTCTAATCCCTTGGGAGCTTAGATTGGCCCAAACCTGCCTCTCTCCATTACCCAGGGCTCACAGACTGGGACCTGCAACCCTAGTGCTGAAGTCCCAAAATGGGAATGGTGGTTCTCACTTCCCAGGGAATATGAGGAGTGGAGGAGCATATGGGCAGGACTGGGAGGGGCTCACCGATCCTGGGCAAGGCATCCCCTACTGCCCTTCTCGACCTCAGGAACCTGAATACATCAGCGCTGGTGACTTGAGGGTTCTCTCCTCAAGGCTTCTCTAGGTTCAGCCCTGCACAGGACACCCAGCAGACCTACTAAGGCTGCAGCTCCTGGCACTCCGGCTCTGTGGGTCCCGTTGACCCTCCCCAGCCCTACGCAGCAGCTGAGATCCTGGCCAAGCTGCAGAGACTCCCCTGCTCCCTGAAAGTCAGTTCTCCCCTCAGAAAGCAGGAACTTGTGACTGGTGGGAAGAAAGAAGACAACTTTGGAGTCCAGGCCTGACTCACACGTGGTGGTTTTGTGGTCTCTCAGCCTCACTGAGCTTTGCTTTTATCTTCTGTAAAATAGGTGTAATGACACCAATCCTATCGGACTGTTGTGGGCTGAGACCGTGAGTTCAGAACCGAAGATGGGGTGTGGCACATAGGTGGGGCTTGATGACAACTGTGAGCACTAGTCCTATAACATCACGGGGATGATCTCATGAACTCATGTGAGCTGCGCTGAGCTTCTTGGGGACCTTGAGGAGGTGACTCCTGGGAGTTGGGACAGCTCTCAGCTGTCCTCATTACTGCCTGGCCCCAGATGTCGTGCATGTCCCAGCCCTTCCGTTCACCCCAGGAGGAGGCATTTCCCTATATAGGGTAGAGCAAGGGATGCGGCCCTTCCTGGCAGCCCTGTGAGGCCAGCAGACGGTCCCAGAAAAGGAAACCAAGGCTCTTCAGTGTGCCACGCCTGAGGCCCCCCTGGGACTTGGCAGGGGACACAGGACTCCATCCCACAGAGATGTCTTTAAGAATGGATGGGATTTAGAAAGGAAGACTCAGCAAAGCCAGAGGTGGGAAGTGAGGAGGCAGGAAAAGAGGGTGCACAGGAGACCAGCCTGGGAGGCTGGCATGGCCCAACTGCTCGCAAAGCCGCTCAGCATGCTCTAGGGGAGGCAGGGGTACATGCCCTGAGATTGCTTCTCCCGGGTTTGTCCCCTGGAGAAATCCCCATGCCTGTTCTGGAATGTTCAGAGCAGCAGGTTTGTGAAAGCAAAATGGAGAAACAATGCAAATTAGCCAAAGGCCCATTGGCAGGAAAAGGAATCAATGGAATGTGGCATTTCACACACACACGGGTGCCACACGGTCCCAGCTTGATGAGCCAAAGCCCCCACGCGCGCATCCATGGACAAAACTCACCCAGAGAAGCAAGTGGCGGAAAAATACAGCGTGATACATAGCTGCGAAATTCAGCAACAGCCACACCAGCCTGATACAGTGTGCAGGAAAACACATCTGTGTGCTGAGACCAGAAGGCAAAGCACATGACAAGCAAAATTCAGGACCAACTGTCAGGGACCGGGCGAGTGGAGGGCTCCCTGTCGCTGGTGATGGTGTGTTCCTTCGCCGGGGCTGTGGATGTGGATGTCTCATTGCTTTTTAATGTTTTTTAAACAGCTTTATTGAGGCATAATTTTAGATACCATATGATTCACTCATTGTAAGATAACAGTTTGGTAAGTTTTAATATATTCACAGCTGGGCACAACTTCAGAGCATTCATCACCCCAGAAGGTCCTTTGTTCCCATTTCACATCATCCCCATCCCACCCTGGCCCAAGGCAATCCCCAGTCTGCTTTTAGTCTTTGTAATTCTATTATTATTATTATTATTATTACTATTTTGAGACAGGGTCTTACTCTGTCACCCAGACTGGAGTGCAGTGGCATGATCATGGCTCACTGCAGCCTTAAACTCCTGGGCTCAAGCCATCCCCCCACCTCTACCTCCCAAGTAGCTGGGACCACAGACGCACAACACCATGCCTGGCTATTTTGTTGTTGTTGTCTTTTTTGGTAGAGATGGGGGATCTCCCTGTGTTGCCAGGCTGGTCTGAAGCTCCTGGCCTCAAGCCATGCTCTCACCTCAGCCTCCCAAAATGCTGGGATTACAGGTGTGAGCTGCCATGCCTGGCCCTTTAATTGTTTTTTACACTTTAAAAGGTATATATTTTTTACGTTATTCTACATCTTAATTTATATGTATAATATATGCTTATATATCTCATGTGCATAATATATTCTACTAAAAGCATTTTTTTAAAAACAAAAGAAAAGGAGAACCAACCCAGTTTGAACTTGAACTGGATTTTCCATGGGAAATTCAACAGGAAAAATATACCAGACACTGAGACAGGAGACTCTCAGGAAGTCCTATTCTACCTCCCCTGTGGCAGGAAACTCCCAGAAAATTAACTGTGGCTTCTTATTTATTTACCTATTTAGAGACAGGGTCCCACTCTGTTATCCAGGCTGGAATGCAGTGGCACAATCATAGCTTACTGCAGGCTTAAACTCCTGGGCTCAAGTGATCCTCCCACCTCGGCCTCTAGAGTAGCTGGGACTACACACACACCAGCACGCCTGGCTAATTTTTAATTTTTTTTTTATAGAGACAGGGTCTTGCTTCATTGCCCAGGCTGTTCTTGAACTCTTGGGCTCAAGCTGTCCTCCCACCTCATCCTCTCAAAGTGTTGGGATTACAGGCATGAGCCACTGCACCCTTCCAACTATGGCTTCTGACCGGACACATTGCTTTGGGAGGCCCCTCCACTCTAATTATAGAACCACTGTGAGCTTGTGAGAACATCTGTGAGCCAGTCCCCTTATTTTACAAATGGGGAAACTGAGGCACAGACAGGCAGTGACTTTAGTCTGACCTGCAACATGGGTGCAGCCTCCTAAAGCCCCTGCCTGGGCCCACACCTCCGTGCAGGCTCCTGTGCTGACCTCCATCCCCTCGTCTCTCTCCCTCTCCAATCCCCGTGGGGACACAGGACTACGGAGGGTGATGGTGCGGGCTCACCGGCAGGCCTGGTGCTGGCAGGACGAGTGGTATGGGCTGAGCATGGAGAACATCCGGGAGCTGGAGAAGGAGGCGCAGCTCATGCTTTCCCGCAAGATGGCCCAGTTCAATGAGGATGGTGAGGAGGCCACCGAGCTCGTCAAGCACGAAGCCGCCTCGGACCAGGCCTCTGGGGAGCCCCTGGAGCCCAGCAGCAGCAATGGGGAGCCCCTGGTGGGGCGGGGCCTCAAGAAACAGTGGTCCACATCCTCCAAGTCGTCTCGGTCGTCCAAGCGGGGAGGTGAGCCCCTGCGCCACCTGCCATCCACACTCAAGGTCCCTCCCCACAAGGCAGCCCCACCTACTGCTGGATCACTGCACCTCCTCAGAGTCCTTTCCGATGGACATTGAGGCACCAAGCCCAGAGGAAGTCAGAGCCCTGGGCTAGTCCTCCCACACGGGGAAGCCTGGGCCCTGCCCCAGCAGGCTCCCCAACACTTCCCCTCCATGCCCAGGGAAGATAGTGCTGCCCATAGGAGCCAGTGGAGGTGGCTGGGCTCCTGCAGTGCTGTGGAGGGGCCATCCCTCCTGATGGGGACCCTGGGAGACTTCAGCTCCTGAGAGAAAGGATCAACCCAGGCATCCTGGGTGGAGCCAGCTTCTCCAGCAGGCAGGCCTGGCTCACTCATCTCCCGCCTGGGCCCTGCTGTGTCCGAATTTCAGGAGTTTGCTCTTGGTCAGACTGAGGTCAGAGGCCCAGGAGTGGACCCAGGCCTGTCTCACCCCGTGTCCTGGGATTATGTCTGTCATGCTTTTCCCCACACATGCCCCCCAGGACACGACTGCCTTTTGCCAGGCAGACAGGAGATGAGCCTAGGCCGCTCCTCACTCATTTACCCACTTCATTCTCTTTGGAACCTTCCTGGCTCCTATGGCAGCCTCTGCGATGCTTGTCAGGCCTGTGGGTTGCCCTCCCTGCCTCCTGCCAGCTCGGGGCAGCCTCTGGGCCCTTCCTCTCCAGTTGGCGGTCATTCTGAGGTTTTGCCTTCCAGCGAGTCCTTCCCGCCACAGCATCTCAGAGTGGAGGATGCAGAGTATCGCCAGGGACTCGGACGAGAGCTCAGACGACGAGTTCTTCGATGCGCACGGTAGGCAGGCAGCGCCCTGCAGTCCTTGGGGCCTTCCTGGGCGAGGTGTGGAGGGGTCTGAAAGGGCTTAGGGTGTGGGTGTGGACTGATACAAGTGTTGCCTGTTACTGTTCTATATCCGGTCCCTACTCCTGCGCTGTCCCAGGTGGACAGCATGGTGTTTGGGGCGATGCACAGAGGATGAGATGAAGTCATCTTGTTCCCTTGAGTCTGGGGTCTCAGGCTTACCCTAACCTGATATCAGGATGTGGGCCTGGCAGATGGGGACTGCGCTCTTGAAACCCCAAATAAGGATACGCCATCAGACTACAGCTTTATTCCGTATGTGAACTTATTTCCATGGAAGCATAACTTCTTTTAATTTTCTAATTTTTTGTACTTACCTTATTTTTTCTTGATTAAATTAATACCACATCTAATGTAGGCACTTTAGGAAATGCAATAAGCAGAAAACATGTGAAGTGCCCATTTTCCCACTTGTCCCAAAATAAGCGCATGACCACACAGCAGATGCACCACCTGTGCCAGGAAGAGGCATGCATACAGTGCTCGCCTGCTTCGTGCCCCAGCCATTCCGCTCCAGGAAGCCGGAGGGGCCAGTGGGTGTAGGGGTTGGGGGCTTGGGTCCCTCTGCAAGCCAGTGGCTGAGCCAGCCCAAAATTCACACAGCAGGTCAGAGGCTCAGAAAGGGACGGGGGCGAGCCCATAGGCACTCAGCAGACACAGGCAGCACCAGATCTCATGTCATCACTGTGGCTTGGAGGGGCACAGGAGCCAAATAAGGTGGCATTTTGGTTAACTGGCCAGCTGCCATCAAGGGAAGGAACCTGGGGAGTCAGTGTCCAGGCAGAAGAAAGGTCCTGGTTTGGCCCTGGAACTGGAGGACCTGGAATGGTGGCTGGGGACTCCTGAGCTGGCCTCTGCACCAGGGGCCTTGCCCAGGATGGAGAAGGGGCCTCTTGGCGTCTCACCCCTCCCAGGTGGCTCTCTGACCCTGATGAGAGGAAAATACATATTTAACGTAGAAAATGCTGTAAAAGAGACAGCAAAGCAGGAAGTACCAGGGCAGCAGTGTTCTGGGGAAATGGGCCCAGGAGCCCATCCAGAGCTGGAGGAGGGCCAGTGAGTGCCAGAGTCAGACGGTAGCCATGAGCCTGGTGGTCCTGGGCAGAAGTTCTCAGAGGAGCGGAAGCAGGAGTCTTGGAGGTGGTGTTCATAGCAGCACTTCTGAAGCTGTGCTTTTGTGGAGGGACAGGGAGAGACCTGTTAGAGGATATGAAATTATATCTAGATGGGAGGAATGAGTTCTAGTTCTGTGACACTGCAGGATGACTAGAGTTAACAGTAATGTATTAGGCCAGGCGCAGTGGCTCACACCATAATCCCAGCACTTTGGGAGGCTGAGGCAAGTGGATTACTTGAGCCCAGGAGTTTGAGACCAGCCTGGGCAACATGGCAAAACCCTGTCAATACCAAACATAAAAAATTTTTTTTTAAACCACAGTAATATGTAATTTCAAATCGCTAGAAGATAGAAATTGAACATTCCCAACACAAAGAAATGATAAATATTTGACATGATGGATGTGCTAATTACCCTAATCTGATCACCATACACTGGTGTATTGAAACATCACTGTGTACCCCATGAATATGTACAATTATGATTATTTGTCAATTTAGCAAAACAGGAACTGGGTATGGTGGCTCAAGCCTGTTATCCTGACACTTTGGGATCGCTTAAGCCTGGGAGTTCAAGACCAGCTAGGGTAACATAGAGACACCTTGTCCCTACAAAAATAAAAATAAAAAAATTAGCCAAGTGTAGTGCGCATGCCTGTCGTTCCAACTACTCGGGAGGCTGAGATGGGAGGATCACTTGAGCCCAGGAGGTCGAGGCTGCAGTAAGCTATGACTGTGCCACTACACTCCAGCCTTGGCATCAAAGCAAGACCTCAAAAAATAAAATATATAAGAAATTTTAAAAATGGTAAAGATGGAATAAAGTAAATGTAGCATTTTTTATTTTTATTTATTTATTTTTGAAATGGAGTCTCGCTCTGTTGCCCAGGCTGAAGTGCAGTGGTGTGATCTCGGCTCACTGCAATCTCTGACTCCCAGATTCAAGTGATTCTCATGCCTCAGCCCCCTGAGAAGCTGGGACTACAGGCACATGCCACCATGCCTGGCCAATTTTTGTATCTTTAGTAGAGACAGGATTTTGCCATGTTGGCTAGGCTGGTCTTGAACTCCTGACCTCAGGTGATCCACCTGACTCGGCCTTCCAAAGTGTTGGGATTACAGATATGAACCACCACCCCCAGCCTAAATGTAGCTTTTTTTTTTTTTTGAGACAAGAGTTTTGCTCTGTCACCCAGGCTGGAATGCAACGGCACGATCTCAGCTCACTGCAACCTCCGCCTCCCAGGTTCAAGTGACTCTCCTGCCTCAGCCTCCTGAGTAGCTGGGACTACAGGTGCACACCACCATGCCTGGCTAATTTTTGTATTTTTAGTAGACATGCGATTTCACCATGTTGGTCAGGCTGATCTTGAACTCCTGACCTCGAGCAGTCCACCCGCCTCAGCCTCCTAGAGTCCTGGGATTACAGGGATAAGCCACTGCGCCCAGCCAATATAGCATTTTAAAAAAAAAAAAAAAACAGGAACATCAACTGATGAGTGGATAAACAAAAGTGGTGTGTCCATGCAATGGACTATGGTTCAGCCGTAAAAAGGAATGAAGCATCTGACATAGAGGATGCTATGGGGGTGGCCAGGGGCTAAGGAAGGCAAGACTGAGGACTCACTGCTCCCGAATATGGGGCTTCCATTTAGGGAAGTAAGATGTTCTGGAATTAGATAGTGGTGATGGTTGCACGGCATCATGAATATACTAAATGCCACTTTATAAATGGTGAATTTTGTTATGTGAATGTTACCACTATTTTTTTAATGGTCAGGAAGAAGCCCAAGGTGTGGGGCTGTGCGGCCGTCCTGTTGAGGAGGGGTCAGAGCAGAGCCAAACACAGGGGTACACAGGGGCACACAGGGGCGTCCCCACCTCGGGAAACCGGGCCTTCCCACTGTTCCCAGTCCCACCTGAGTTTCCTTCTCTCCTCTCCAGAGGACCTGTCTGACACAGAGGAAATGTTCCCCAAGGACATCACCAAGTGGAGTTCCAATGACCTCATGGACAAGATCGAGAGCCCAGAGCCGGAAGACACACAAGGTCAGCAGGTCTGGGGGTGCTGCAGAGCCTGGGGAGGGTGGCTGCAGGGCTTCAGCCCCCTCCTTTCTGACCCAGCTCCTGCACGGTGCTGGGCATACATGGGGATTGGGGGCCCCCAAGCTCCCCTCGTCATGGTTGCAGCCTCCGTCCGGTCGGCCAGGCTGGGCTGCCCCTTAGCTCACAGCACGGCTTCTGTGTTGTTGCAGATGGTCTGTACCGCCAGAGCGCCCCTGAGTTCAGGGTGGCCTCCAGTGTGGAGCAGCTGAACATCATAGAGGTGGGTGCCCGGGTGTCAGAGGGACAGGGGCACGGCTGCCAAGGGAGGGGCAGGGCACAGAGGAATAGTCTGAGGGGCTACAGAGGTGGAACTCTGGGCCTGGCAGCCTCACCTCCACACCTGCCTGGGTACTGTCCGGGGAGAGGCCTGGGCCTCCTTTTTTGCTGCCCTGCTAGGAAGGCGCCTGCCGCCCTCTGTCTCTGAGGTCCCCAAGAACCAGGGACTACAGACAACCCCTGAGAAAACCTTATCCAAGCTCCACCCATGGGAAAGTAAAATGAGAAACTTGTAAATTCCAGATCAAAAATAAGATCTTCACCTTGTGCCCAGCCTGTCTGCTGTCCCTGAAGATAAAAAGACGAAAAGGGAGGAAGCGACAGTCGTCTAGGCAGAAGTGATGTGGCCGTAGCCGACAAGATGGCCCCGCGGGAGGCAGGCGGAGCTCAGTGTGTCCAATAAAGCTGTCTTGGTAGAGCGCCTGTGTCCGCTTCGGGGGTTCTCTGTGGGAGTTCACGCCCCATCCTCCTCCACCTGCGGGCCGTCAGAGCTGTTTGCACTGGGACAGGAGCCAGGGCTGAGCTGGGCTGTCCCACCATCACCTGCGGTCACCGCACTGCTCTGGCCTCAAGCTGCCTAAGGTGGAGGCAGCACCACTTCTGTGGGGAACTCGGGCCCCTGGGGAGTCTGGGGGAGGAGGAGGGACATCCACACAGCCTCCCCCTCCTGTGGTTTTCTGCTTTGCAGTCTGACGCCGAGGTGGGCTTTCTAGAAGGGGTCATGGAATAAGGGGAGTTGATTCCAATTGCTGCTTAATGTCTAGATAAGCAAACGGAGCCCCCTCCCCACCTGCAGCACACACAGCTCTGACGCCCCCCCAGGGGAGGGGCAGAAGGGGCCTGAGGCTCTGGATCTGCCTTGGGGTGTGTGTTCAGAACCCAGCACTGATTCTGGGGCACCGCCATCCAAAGCCAAATCCATTTGCTTGCAAGAACCCCCAAACCGGAGCCCCTGCTCCTGGCCTTGCGGAGACACTAGTAGGGGGATGCCTCTATAGCTGCAGGGGGCTCAGCCCCCACTAGAGCCCAGGGGAGGGTGAGTCCCTGTCTCGGGCTGAGGCATGATGTCCCCTTGGAGAAAGCAGGCTGAGTGTAGTAGGGAGACTGTTCCAGGGGTCTCTGGGGGCCCCTGGGTCATCTCTAGGACTGAGCCCAGTCAGATAGGCCTATGCAGGATTCTTTCAGCCCCCAGTGCCAAGCCCTGCCCGTCTCCTGGTGACTCAGTACCACTGGACATCACCTTCCTGTCCTGGAGGCTGCATAAGACATTTCTTCCATAAACCCTTTGCCTCACTGGACTGCAAATAAAACCCTTGTCAAAGCCGGATAGGGCTCATGTTGTTCCCTCCTGCCCTGTGTTCTGGGCAGCTGGTGGCCCCCTCTGCCCTGGGCTGAGTGTGTTTGTGTCCAGGCCAACCAGTGGTGGCTAGTCCCCATGTGAGGACAAGTGTCGGTCCTGCGCTGGCCCCTGGGAAGAAGAGGGAAGCCCCGTGGCTCCCCCTGGGGTGAGGGCAGCCCAGCCTTTCTCCTCCAGCTCAGCAGCACCCACCAGGCTTCCTGCTGCTCAGTGGCTCCTGGCCCAGCCCATCCATTCCCTTGCCCTTCCTGGTGGCCACTTTCTTTTTTTCTTTTTTTTTTTTTTTTTTTTTTGGAGACAGGATCTCACTCTGTCACCCAGTTTGCAGTGCAGTGGCACGATCTCGGCTCACTGCAACCTCTGCCTCCTGGGTACAAATGATTTTCCTGCCTCAGCCTCCCGAGTAGCTGGGATTACAGATGTGCACAGCCATGCCTGGCTAATTTTTGTATTTTTGGTAGAGACAGGGTTTTGCTATGTTGGTCAGGCTGGTCTCAAACTCCTGGCCTCAAGTGATCTGCCTGCTTCGGCCTCCCAAAGTGCTGGGATTACAGGCTCAAGCCACTGCTCCCAGCCACCTGGTAGCCTCTTAAGTCCTGGGTCCAGCCCCTACCCTCCCCACCCACCCAACCTGTGTTGGCACCTGGGTCCTGGTGCTACCCCTACCCCATGGCCAGCTGTCCCCACCATAGGCCCTCTAGATGGCTTTGGCTCCTTGGTCTGTCTCCTCGGGTTCTTGGAGGCAGGACTCTCCCTTCAGCTCCCTTCCCTGCCCCCACACCCCAGACATCATAGGGACACAGCAAGTACTTATCAGTGGCCCCTCTTGGGCCCTGGCCCTGCTGCTATCCTCCAGTCACATACCAGAAGCCTGGGGCAGGGGAGGGTGACCTCTGGGGACAGGGCCACAGCCTGGCCTGGCAGGAGAGTGCTGAGTTGTGGCAGAGGCTTCAGGTTCCGGTCCAGCCTAGCACTGACACACCGTGTGATATTAGCCCAGTCCCCTAGCCTGGAGCAGTTTGTAGCCCTTACACAGGTGTGCAGGTCTAGGGTCTCACCTTGACCTCATAGGCAGGCCTGGCCTGCAGGAAGGTGGTGTCATTACCTCTCGAAATCTGATCGGCCTCCTCTCTAAGGTGCTAGGGCTCCATCCCCACCAGGACACCTCTCCTTTTGGAGACCCTGGTCTTAGAGAGAGGCCAGGAATGGCAGGGCCTTAGGGTGGGGGCCTGGGGAGGAGGCCCTGTGTAGCCTGGGGAGGAGGCCCTGTGTAGCCTGGGGAGGAGGCCCTGTGTAGCCTGGGGGAGAGCTCAGAGCTGCAGACAAAGGGGCTGGGGTTGCCACCCGCCCAGGCTGTGGATGCCCTGACCCCGGCCATTCTCAGGTGACCTCTGTAACTTTGAGCTGGTGGTGGCCCTGTCTGCTCACGCCAAGACAGACACATACAGGGCAGGCAGCCCCCAAGGCTAAGACCAGGCTGAGCCTCTGCCTCCCCTTAAAGCTGGAAGCCCCAGAAGCCACTGCCTGGGCTCCCTGAAGGAAGCAGAGCTCATGCTCTCAAAGGAGTGGACTCCCTCAATGGCCTCTGCACCCCTGGTCAGGGTGGCAGACAGGGGCAGGGCTGCAGGAGGAGGAGTGGACAGGCCCACCTCCCTGACTCCTCCTCCAGGCTCCAGTCCCAGCAAGGGTCCCAGGGGAGGGGTTAAGGCAGCCAAACCCCAGACCCCAGGACTGAATAACCAACTGGGGTTCTCAGAGGGAACAGTTGGGCTGTGTGCAACAGGCACACCCCCACCAAGGGTGACAGAGGGGCCTCAGCAAGGAGCTGGGTTCCCTGGGGAGCTGACACTGCCCCCCAACCCATGCAGGACGAGGTTAGCCAGCCGCTGGCTGCACCGCCCTCCAAGATCCACGTGCTGCTACTGGTGCTGCACGGAGGCACCATCCTGGACACGGGCGCCGGGGACCCCAGTTCCAAGAAGGGTGATGCCAACACCATCGCCAACGTGTTCGACACCGTCATGCGCGTGCACTACCCCAGCGCCCTGGGCCGCCTTGCCATCCGCCTGGTGCCCTGCCCGCCTGTCTGCTCTGACGCCTTTGCCCTGGTCTCCAAGTGAGTGGCACCTGCCCTTGACTGCAGCCTCCGGCTGTGCACTGTCGTCCTCCCACCCCTGGGCCTCAGGTGGCTCCCCAGTTTCAGGACTCCTGCCTCAATGTCCAGACCCACCAGCCAGCCCCTTCTACCTGGAGGTGCCCAAACATATACATGCAGGCTAAGCCTCAAGTCCCAGGAGGGCTGGGCCCATGGCTGAGCCTTCGTTTCCAAACGTGTAATGTGGGGAGATTGGCCTGCCTCTGAGACATGGGGTCTTACTCACCCTGGTCCCCCAAGCCTACCCAGGGCCTGGCCAGGAAGGGTTATCACTAGCGTGAGCTGAGTCCATGGCTGAGACTCGGGTCAGGGGAGAGGGGCCCTTTGGGCTGAGCTGGAGCCGCCTGCCCTCTCTTGACTGGCCCCTCTCCCCAGCCTTAGCCCCTACAGCCATGACGAAGGCTGTCTGTCCAGCAGTCAGGACCACATTCCCCTGGCTGCCCTCCCCCTGCTGGCCACCTCCTCCCCCCAGTACCAGGAGGCGGTTGCCACAGTGATTCAGCGAGCCAACCTTGCGTATGGGGACTTCATCAAGTCCCAGGAGGGCATGACCTTCAATGGGCAGGTGAGTCCCGGGGAGGTTGGGGAGGGGAGGAGGATGGAAGACCCTGTAGGGCGGGCTGGCCTGAAGGGGAAGGTGATGGCCTCCCCAGTCTGTAGTCCAGCGAGTGGGTGAACGGCTCAGGCCTCTGGCCCCTCTCCCCCAAGGTCTGCCTGATTGGGGACTGCGTCGGGGGCATCCTGGCATTTGATGCCCTATGCTACAGCAACCAGCCGGTGTCTGAGAGTCAGAGCAGCAGCCGCCGGGGCAGTGTGGTCAGCATGCAGGTACCCAAATGGGGGCCCAGACATTCCCCAAGGCCTGAAGCCTCCTGCATGCCCCCAGGGTCGCTGCCCTGCCTGTTCCTGCACCTGGCCCCAGGCTGTGCCCACCAAGCAGAATGCTGGCAGCACTTCCTGAGTCCAGCTGGCTTGGACTCTACCCAGTTAAGCTCCGTTCATTCAACAAACATTTTCCAAGCCCCTGAACCCCAGCCCTGCTGCCAGAGCTCACCTCCAGGGCAGGGGCTATGGAGGAGTTGGGGGTGCAGGTGAGCTGAGGAAGCCCAGCCCATTCTGGCTGAAGAGTCAGGGAAAGTGCCTGGGCCCTGAAAGAGCTGTAGCAGTTTTTCTCACAATCTCTCTCCCCTCACCTCTCCAAAAAAGGATGGGAAGGGCAGAGGTTGGCAGCACAGGTGCCCAGAGGCGGCAGGGCAGGTGCATGGGGGCAGGGGAACAGCTGCCACGTGGCCAAGCCTAGGAATGCGAGTGGTTTCATGAGCCTGAACCAGGGTCGGCACTGTGGGCAGTGGGGTCTGGTTCCTAGGAGGTGAGATGGGCGACCCCTCTCTGCTTCCCTGCCTCTGCTGCACAGTGGCAAATGGCCTGTAGACCAATGAGGTCCAGGGTGGCTTGTGGGTGGGGGGACAGAAGGGAACAGGGGCCCTCCCCTCTGGTTTGATGAGAGGCCGGCTGGACTGTGGCCACTGGGCCTGGGGTTAGGAGGGAGGAGGCAGCTTCCAGGATGCTGGAGAAGGGATCAGGCCAGCGGCCACCTGGCAGTGAGCCTCCATGGGGCCATTCCAGGACAACGACCTGCTGTCCCCGGGCATTCTGGTGAATGCAGCACACTGCTCCGGTGGTGGCGGTGGCGGTGGTGGCAACAGTGGTGGTGGTGGCAGTAGTGGTGGCTCCAGCTTGGAGAGCAGTCGGCACCTGAGCCGAAGCAACGTCGACATCCCCCGCAGCAATGGCACCGAGGACCCCAAAAGGCAGCTACCCCGCAAGAGAAGCGACTCGTCCACCTATGAGCTAGACACCATCCAGCAGCACCAGGCCTTCCTGTCCAGGTGGGCGGGGCTGGGGGGCTGGGGCTCGCCTCTGGGTGCAGGAAGAGGCTCCAAGAGGGAGGAGCGTCCCCCGCGATGGCCAACGGGAGGCCTGGGGTCTCTGCCTGAGGTTCCCCCAGCCTGAGACCTGGGATCCCACTCTGGGCCCAGGAGAAAGTGGCTTATTGGGTGCCTTGTCTCATATACACCAAGGGCCATCTCGGGCCTGAGGGAGCAATTTGTCTTGAGGGTGAGGGTGGGGAATGGCAGAGTTGGGGGCAGAATGGACCAGGGGCAGGTGGTCCAGGTCAGGGCTGTCCCGAAGCCAGTGGGCCCCCGAGAGAGGTTGGGTGCCACCAGCAGTGTCTTGGCAGATGATGGGAGCTACACTCACATACAGCTAAGTCTTATTTAGGTTAGGTCTGATGACTCTTGGGGGCTGTGGGACCCACCCTGTCCCTCGTGAGACTAGGGGAAGGCCAGCTGTGAGAGGGGCCGTGGTGTGACCTCGTGCGTCCCCCACTGCAGCCTCCATGCCAGCATGCTGAGGACTGAGCCCTGCTCACGCCGTTCCAGCAGCTCCACCATGCTGGACGGCACAGGTGCCCTGGGCAGGTTTGACTTTGAGATCACGGACCTCTTCCTCTTCGGGTGCCCGCTGGGGCTGGTCCTGGCCTTGAGGAAGACTGTCATCCCAGCCCTGGATGGTGAGAGCCCAGCAGGGGCGGTACATGCGCTGGGTGGGTGTGGGGGGTCTTAGTGGACCCCTGTGACGAGATCATGGCCACATCCCAGGCCTGTTTCTGCCCTCCTTCCTGTCTTCCCCACCAAGGGCCCCTTGCTATCCTCTGCTCCTGCTTCAGCAGCTCAGTCACTGGCTGTCCGTGACACCTGCTGTTTCATTTCATCTCCAGGATGCCTGTGGGAGCTGAGGGTCATCCCCTAGATGGGAAAGCTGAGGTCCAGGGAGAAAAGGCACCACCCCAGAGTCAGATGGAGACAGACCCAGCCTCCCAGGTCCAAGGTCCTCCCATAGGGAGAGATACAGAGGCAGGGCATCCCCAAAGCCTCCTGGGTATAGTGGGCTCCCTGCCCTGGAGGGGCCACAGCTGTGCGTCTGTCTACCCAAGTCAGGCAGGCCAGCGGCTGGGCATCACTGAAGCAGCAGTCCCTGCCGTGTGCCCTGGGATCAGCCTGCAAAGTCCCAGGAGCCACACAATCCTGAGAGTAGCCACACAGGGCCCATGTTACACCCCCAGATGACAGAGGGGGAAACTGAGGCTCAGAGAGGTTTAGATGCTTGCCAAGTGCTAGGTTAAAAATGCAGACCTGGCCGGGTGCAGTGGCTCATACCTGTAATCCCAGCACTTTGGGAGGCCGAGGCAGGCGGATCACCTGAGGTCGGGAGTTCGAGACCAGCCTGACCAACATGGAGAAACCCCGTCTCTACTAAAATTATAAAATTAGCTGGGTGTGGTGGCGCATATCTGTAATCCCAGCTACTCGGGAGGCTGAGGCAGGAGAATCACTTGAACCTGGGAGGTGGAGGTTATGGTGAGCCAAGATCGTGCCATTACACTCCAGCCTAGGCAACAAAAGTGAAACTCGGTCTCAAAAAAAAAAAAAGCAGATCTCTGGACTCAGTGCCCAGGACCCTTCCCCTTCCACAAACTGGTGACCAGCACTGCCAGGAAGAGAAATGGGTAGCTTTAAAGGGACCCCAACAACCAAGGCAGCTCACACTTGGTGTAAAGGGGTGCAGCCCCATGGAGGGCATCCCTGTGCCCCGTCCACTGCAGGCTCTGAACAGCCCCACAGAGTCCCACACAGGTGCATGGAGACTTAGGGACAGTGCCGTTGTGGTCACATTATGTGTCACTGTGAAAAACCAGAACCAACTTAAATGTCCATCTATTTGGAGGGGACTGGTTAAATCAATTCTGGCACAGTCACACAGTGGAGTACCTGCCTCCTCTGAAAAAGAGCAAGGAGAAACTATGCATGCTCACATGAAAGACGCCAGCATTTGTTGTGTTAAGCGGGAAGAAAAGGCAAAGTTCAGAAGGCATAGCACATGTTCCGGTTTATGTCCCTCTAAAAGTGAGATACAGCACTGATAATTAACACATCCTTACATTCACGTGATCTCCTTAACTCCATGATGTGGTTGGAACTGCCACCCCATTTGACAGATGAAGAAACATTTTCCCATACAGGCAGGGCAGGGCTGCCTTAGCCAGTACTCGGTGGGGCTCCTGCAAGATGAACTGGAGCTGCAGGGGGCCTGGGGTGGAAGGGGTTTCCACCATGTGCCCTTCATCATGTGCTCTTCTGTACTGCAAACCACTTTTTACCACAATCATTATAACTTTTGCAATGAAAAAAAAATTAAGAGGTTGGACGTGGGGGCTCACGCCTGTAATCCCAGCACTTTGGGAGGCCCAGGTGGGAGGATGCCTTGAGTCCAGGAGTTTGAGACCAGCCTGGGTAACATACTGAGACCCCATCTCTACAAAAAATAAAATAGCCAGGTGTGGTGGTGTATACCTGTGGTCCCAGCTACTCAGGAGGCTGAGGGGGGAGGATCACTTGAGCCCAGGAGACTGAGGCTACAGTGAACCAAGATCGCACCACTGCCCTCCAGACTGGGTGCCAGAGCAAGAGCCTGTCTGAAAAAAAGTGACAATGACCGAAACAGGTCCTAAATTGACAGAGACACACCCCCGTCTCTCCCAAACTTTCGGCAGACAACCCAGTTCCCAGTTCCCAAATTTCCCACTCCCCACCCCTGCTCCTCAGGGCCGGCCCCAGCTCTGCAGCCAACACCCCCACCCCCAGTTTTCCAGCTGCGGCCGGCCTGCCAGCAAGTCTACAACCTCTTCCACCCCGCGGACCCGTCAGCGTCACGCCTGGAGCCGCTGCTGGAACGGCGCTTCCACGCTCTGCCGCCTTTCAGTGTCCCCCGCTACCAACGCTACCCGCTGGGGGACGGCTGCTCCACACTGCTGGGTGAGAGGCACATTCCGCCCTGCTCCTCTGGGGGAAGGTGGGGTAGGCGTGGCTCCCTGGCTCCTAGGCCCTCCGTGCCACGTGGTTCTTCCCCAGGTGAGAGGGACAGCCTGTGCTGAATGCCTCTCGGAGGTGGACAGCTGTTGGGGGTGGGGGGCGGGGGGTGGTGCATCCCTCCGCACTGATCCCTGAGGCAGGAATGATGGTTCCCACCTTTCGGAGGGCACAGGTCAGGGCCTTGTTCCAGGGTCCCCGGAGCAGGGAAGGGGCAGAATGAGACCAGACTCCCCTCTCCACAGCTGAGCCTCCATCCCAGCAGAGACAGAGCTAAGGACCCACCAGGGACCCTCACTGAGTTGGGGGCCTGGTCGGCTGGGTCCCATCATGGCAGGTGGCTGGCCCCGAGACAGGATGCAGGAGACGGGTTGGGGCAGGGGAGGTCCAGGTGGGCTTGGCCCGACCCCTGCCCCGGCGTGTGTCCCAGCGTCTTGTCATGTCCTGGTCCTAAAAGAGCCCTGAGTCTCTGTGTTGGAGCGTGTCTGGATGGCCCATGCAAGTGTCTGTTCTTGTCCTCTGTTCTCTCCCCGTCTGCCTCCAGTCGAGACCGTGCAGAGAAACCCTGAGCTGGTCCTGGAGGGCGGCCCCCTGGCCCCTCTCCCCCACGGGGACAGCTTCCTGGAAACCAGTATGCCTGTTCCCGCGCCCACCTGGCAAGACGGGCCCCGCCCGGGCTCTGCCGAGTGTGTGTACCCTCCCCTGCTCGTGGTGACGTCTGCTTCGCTGGCTGACCCAGTCCTCAGGGACACCCCCCAACCCATGCCCTCCTTGGCCACTCAAGAGTTGGTGGGACCTGGGTGGTGAGGAACAGAGACTTGGGCAGGACGGCCCTGAGGAACTGGTATGGGTGCCTCCTCCCGCATATTGTGGGCCAGAGGCGGGGCAGACCCAAAGCAAAGGGGCGCAGCAGCTCAGAAACAGCAGAGGCTGTCTCAGGGCCACAGAGCACATCAGTGACAGTTCCAGGGCTCTGCCAGAAGCAGACAGGAGATGGGATGAGGCCTTGAGCCAGCCAGGCCCACCCCTCACTTGGGGAAGCTTCTGGTCCCAGTGAGGGGTTGGATTCCCCAGGGCCCACTCCTTCCCTCTCTGAGGTCACCCAGGCACCTCCTGTACCCCGTCCAGGTGTGGCTTGTCTGACTGATCCCCGTCCTCCCCGTTCTGTCCTGTCTTCAGCCTGGGCCTGGGTGAGCCTGGCTTGAGTCCCCAGCACCTGCCTTTGTCCCCAAACGCCCATCAGGGACTGCTGGCTGTGGCCTGTGTGAGGGACGTCCAGGGCTTGCCTCTCTCCGTGCTCTGCATGTGCAGGGCATCCCCAGGAAGCCACCTGTGGCACCTGTTGTCAGCACCCTGCAAACCTGGGTGGAGCCGCTGCTTTTGCTGTGGGCTGTGGGTCAGGTCAGGCCAGGCTGAGCTCTGGAGGCCCTGGAGCCGCTGGGGCTGCTGGACACGAGCTGAGGGGTGTGTGGGGGGCAGGAGGGTGACTGAGGTTGAGCCCAGCTGCCACGCCTCCCTGCCCTGTGTCTGTGTCCATTCTTCAGTCCACCCTGCCCCAGCCCTCCTCCTCACCTGCTGAAGCTCTGGGCCCCTCCCTCTCATGGCCCTGAGCAGGTGGCTCTGGCACAGCTGCTGCCCGGCCCCCAGCCTAGGCACACACTGGACCCTGACACACTGGCTCCCCAACTGCTCCGGGGCTGGGCAGGGCTGGGCAGGGCCTCTCTTACCTGGCCTCTGGTCCCTGTCCACCTGCAGCGGATGTGCTCCAGACCTACAATGCGGCCTTCCAAGAGCATGCCACCCCCTCCTCGCCCAGCACTGCCCCTGCCAGTCGTGGCTTCCGCCGAGCCAGTGAGATCAGCATCGCCAGCCAGGTGTCAGGCATGGCCGAGAGCTACACGGCATCCAGCATTGCCCAGAGTGAGTGTACCAGGCCCCTCACCCTCCTCACTCAGCCAGGGCCGTCGTGCCCATAGGGGACAGCTGATGACCAGGTCTCGGAGCATTTCTAGCTGCTGAAGCTGGGGAGGGATGCTGCTGGCACCCGGTGGGTAAAGGGAGGGAGGCTGCTGGGCACCTGCAGTGCCCGGACCAGCCCCACAGCAGAGACTGGTCAAGTCCAAAGACTCTGCAGTGTCCAGGCTGAGAAGCTTCGCCTTCTCTGGAGGATTCTGGAAGAAGGCGCATTAGGAAGGGCCCCACCTTCCTCATGCTTGGCTCCTGCATGAAGCTTCTTGGTGCTTCAAGCAGAGTCTGGGTTTCCTTCTCAGTCCCCGCCAGGTGGCTGCCCCCCCGTGCTGGGCCAGGGATTCTCACAGCTGCGGTCAGCGTGGCTATACAGGGGCTGAGGCTGGGATGGGGGTTTCTAGCAGTTGTGTTCATCCGTGAGGAGGGCCAAGGGGCCCACCCTTGATAGCCGCAGGCCTGGCACTGTCCCAGTGTCCTGCCTGGCCCCTGGTAGACGTGGCAGCGCAGTGGCCCCCCACGTGGCTGAGCCATCCATTGCTCTTGCTTCTCAGAGGCCCCCGATGCGCTCAGCCATACCCCCAGCGTCAGGCGTCTGTCCCTGCTCGCCCTGCCCCCACCCCGCCCTATCACCCCTGGCCCCCACCCTCCAGCCAGGCAGGCGAGTCCCAGCCTGGAGAGGGCCCCTGGCCTCCCTGAGCTGGACATCAGAGAAGGTACCACCCCACACGCTTTCCCCTCACTGGGGGGTCACTCTGCTGCTGAGCACCCCTCACCACCAGGCTCTGCCCACCTGGACCCCTGCTTCGGCCTAACAGGGAGCTGGGGGTTGGACTGGGAGGACTTGGCCATCCAGGGAGGAGGTGGGAGCTGGTAGCATTGTCTAGTGGGGTGGGGGGACCGGGGACCTGACAAAGCTGGAATGAGGCCAGATGAGGACCAAGGAAGCTCCGAGGAAAGCTGCGGGCAGAACCTAGGGAAGCCCGGACCTGTAAACCAGGCCCTGCTGCTGGGCCCCCCTGCGGACAGCCCAAGAGGCACTTTACAAGCTCATCTTGTTCAGGAAGGTTGCCCTCGCCAAGCCCCTAGTGGCAGAGCCGGATGCACCAGGACCATCCATCTGGAGGCCCAGGCTTCCCCACCCACACTGCTGTGCCTCAGGGCTCGTGGGGTGTCCCAGGTGCGAGGAGGGCAGCACCCTTGCCCTGG